CTGAAGGGAAGTAACTTATCTTCCACCATTCTACTCTCAATTAACATCCTATATCCATTGCATTCTGTTATAATACATCCTGCTAGTCCTGTTGATTATGTAAACTAGTTGTAAGCAAAGTATACTTTTGAAGCTTTTTCTTAAAATCCAGAGTAGGGTTTCAGCTCCCACCTCCTGCTGGCATTTCAACTTCCAAAAAGCTCAAGAAAGTAAGATGTCTAACTTTGCAGCTACATATTTCTACAAGGGTCCCTTCTTTTTATTCTCTGGGCATGAAGAGAAGGTCTGAACTCTGCCTTAGAAATGCTTTAGAAAGAGTTGAATTACATTTTTAAAAAATGAATTGGGTATTTGAATTGGGTTTAGCATGTTTTAAATTGTTAAAAATGTGACTACATAATGTGTGTGGATTTTTCAGCTCAGGAAGAGTATTTTTGGCTGTAAGAAGCATCCAGCGACAGGGCAGGCAGGTGGGGGCAGACAAAGCCACAAATGCAACGATTCTAAAATCCCATGTGCCCCCCTCAACCAATATACAGTACAGTTTAAAAATAGATTAAAATGTCTCACAAGAGGACACACACACCGACACAAAAACACGTGACTACCATATGACTTTATGTGATAGGGTTCTTCAGAAATTGGTGGCGGTTCCTTCATTTTGGTGGGAACGAGAGATGGAGGTGATTTTAACTCTTCAACAAACTTAACTTTATTATCTTCAGTGCCTTGATTAACAAGAGTAAACAGATCAAAACTACTTAACTCAGGAATCATTCCATAACTCAATATCTTTGGTTCTAGTGTAAATATTTCACTCCTCACATCGGGGCTGGACCAAAGCGCTCGTGGTCTTTCATCTGTCGCATCAGAGTGCTCCTCACAGCGCACACCGTCCCACAGCACGGATGCCTCGCCCAATCCCCCTCCAGGGGTGGGGTGTTGAAAGTAAGACTGGGGCAGATTACCTTCCTCCTTCCACTTTGGTTGCGGGGGGGGGGAACCATGACTGTCCATTCTAGCGGCTTCACCACCCTCCCGTCACCCTTGGGAGATGAGGGGTCTGGTAACAATCCTCTCCCAGTCTTGAGGTTTGGAAACTCTCTCAGCAGGTCACAGACCTTATTAGCTTGTTCGTCCGAACTATCTGTTTGCACCACACTGTCTCTTCTGCTTCTTTCTTTCATGCCTGCTTCCACTCTAAATTCCCACACTTCTTCTTCCCCTTTTATAACCTCCTCCCATAATAGCTGCCTAGAGTAATCTTAATTGATTAGATAGGCGGGATATAAATAAAATAAATAAATAAATAAATAAATAATATCACATCTTGCTCCTCCCCTTTGTCTCCTTCCTCATCTTCCACCAAGCATATCTCTATCATGTTCTCCCGTCTCACTTCATCTTCCTCTATCTTTATGAGTTCTCCCTCTACACATCCGGATGTCTCCTCCTGTCTATCCTCTGCTGAGGACGGCACACTAGCCCTTTGTCCTTCACACTTTAAAACAAATTTAAAAGTCCCAACCCTATTTATTTCATTAACGTAATCATGCTTTAAGCTACATGCTTATTAAACCAAGAAGCTTTTCGTGGCTGCTCCCAGGCCCTGGAAATCCCTCCAGAGAGAGGGCAGGTTGACTCCCTCACTGTTGGTTTTCTGCTGGCAGGCAAACTCTTTCTTCACATTAAGATTTAACTATAATTGTCTTGTTCTTAATTGTTAGCTGTTTGACTCCTATTTGTGGCAAAAATGCAGGATATAAATTGAATGAAATAAAAATTTTCATTTCTTAATTTCTCAATACTCATTCCCTCTGAAGCTTGTAATAATGCTACCTTTATATTTAAATTTCCAAAGAGACTGTCTGCTGCAGCCAACAAGTTCAGTCCAAGTCACTGAAAAATAAATCAAAGTCAAGTCACCAGTGTGACTTAAGTCTGACTTGACAGCAAGTCCCGCAATGTGAGTCCCCATTCCTGCCAGCCACTATGGATGGTGACATACTCTGCTCTAGTCCAAACATTTGGTACCCATGGGAAAGAACCGTACACAGGTATAAACATATTAGTATGAAGTCAGGATAACCCTCACATGTAATGCCCTTTCTAGCATGTACAAAAATATGGACAGTAACACTGATTAGAATAAGGATAGTTCACATATGTTCTCTAATTTTCTACATTTCCCTAGAACATAAGTACGGGCCATCTAAATCACTGTGTAATTTTGGTATTTATGCTCCAATAGCTTAGCAGAACAAAAGTGTGTAACTCCACAGTATCACCTTTCAGTTTAAGAAATTAAAGTCTGGTGGTAAGCACACAAATAACCCATACCTAGGATCTCCAGAGAGTTATAGTTAACACGCCCCCCTTTTAGTGAAGGTATGAAGATTGAGAGATTGGTAAATAAAGAACTGTAGTAGCACAGATTTAAATTATTCTGACATGTGTTAATTGACATCTCCCTCCCATCTGCAAGATTCTGAAAGGACAGCGTGTTGATCAGGCAATAAAAGACTGCTGAAAACTGAAGTGTAGCAAAGCAAAGAAGTTTAGACAGGAAAGGGTGACTACATATTTTCCAGAAATTTAGCATTACAACTTGTTTACAAACAAGTGGACTAACAGCAGTAGCTGAATGAGCTGGTGGAATATTACACAGAACCAAGACATATCCAAGCCATGCAAATAGAAAACAAAGGGGGGAAAACAAACAGTAAGGCTGAATTCTAGCCAACCATGAAAATTGCCAGTCTCTTGTTAACTTGTCTACCATTGTTGATCTAAATTAAAAAGGACTAAATGTGACTGTTCATTTGAAGAGAGTAATACAATTAAGCCGAGCCACAGATTTCAGGTGTCAAGATAGGTAGGAAAGTTAGTTATTTAATTTATTTTGAATGTCAAGCAGGAGAAAAGGACATGTGAGACTTCCTCCACTATGTGCCAAATAACTAGCCTATGCATTTATATGGCAGCAGGAGAAGGGGGGCATTTGCTGCTCCACCACAGGAAGCAAAACGTCTTGAAGCAGCTTTGAACAGTTAACAGAAAACCTGAGATTTAAATAAATTAGAGCACATTATACAAATTAGAACTGCAGAGTAAAAAGAAATCACTTTATTTATATGCAAAAATTACTGAAAACTGATCAATTTCTATTATTTTATGTATGTATTTATGAACATTTGCTTTTTATTTATAAAATCCAAAAGCAGTTCACACAAATAAATATAATAAAGTCAGTTTTGGGCAGAAATATCCAACACAAGAATTTAAACTCAATTGGGAAGTCATTTCACACACTTATCAGTCACACAGTGATGGTGCTTGGCTTGTTGATTGTTTTCAAAGCCCTGTTCCCTATCTTATAACCCTTGCCCCTTTTCTTATGACAATTACATAGCCTTTCAAAGTTATAACTATAAATAAAATTTTGATAGCAGACATGCCAGTAATTGTTCAGTACCAATCTATTTTGATTCCAGGCATTCTTATATAATGAGCTAAAAACTGCAGCTAAAACTGTGCTCACGACCTGGGGTTCAAATCCCAGGTAGCCGGCTCAAGGATGACTCAGCCTTCCATCCTTCCGAGGTCGGTAAAATGAGTACCCAGCTTGCTGGGGGGGCAATGTGTAGCCTGTATAATTAAAAA